TCAGGCATTGTGCCAAGGGCTGGGCACACAAGTATAAAGGCTAAAATAATCCCTTCTCCCAGAAAGCTTACGTCCTAATGGGGGAGACCACAAGTAAATAAAAATATACAAATAAATATTTTAAAATAACTATGTAAATACATAAGTAATATAAATGAATAGATTAATAAACTAATAAGCAAAGAGATTAATACATAAACAAATGACAGACAGACATATCTCACACACACACACACACACACACACACACACACACATACCCTAGGAGGAGTAATGTCCAATGAGGCTGGAAAGCTAGATGGGAGCCAGGCTATATGGGGCTTTAAAAGCAGTCTAGAGGCCAGAGAGAACAACTAAACTTAGCTGAGCAGAAAAGGAACAAGGTAAGATGGGAGGTGAAACCTGGCCGCCATTTTTCATGGCAATGAGAAATCAAGGCTGCAGAGATAATCAAAAACCAAACCAGTCTCTGAATGATCTTAGAATTTTTGATTTCAGCCTATCTCAGGGAAAACTCAAGACAAGGTGGCTAACAAGTAGAAAAATTGCCTGCTTTGGATTTTCGTCTGTTTTTATAGCCCTGAGGGAAATGATAAATGAGGTGCAAAGTATTCAAAAATTGGGTGGCTAAAGAAAAGAGAAGAAAGAAACAGAGTCCAAATTGGACAATCCTCCTGAACAATAAAGAGTTGGCTATTTTTGGAAAAGTAAGCATCCCTACCTTTCGGGAATTGACTTTCACTCCAATACCCTACAATCAGTGCATCATTGCAGATTTTAACAGGAATAAGACAAATAAGGATACAGTTTCAGGGGGATTTAACAAGGGCCTAAGGAGATGAACAGAGAGTCCTCTTTTGCCCTAATTTTCTGAGACCCCGAGAACCATCCACTATGGGCTCCCAGCTCAAAATACAGACAAGCCAGATTAGGCACTAAACTGTTTCTATTATTAAAATTGGAATGATAATTATCCTGGCATTCACCCATAAAAATAGTCTCCAAATCTATTTTAAAAATTGGAAACAGACCAGGGTTTATAAACATGTCTTGAACCCATCTTGGTATGTAAGTTATAGTCAGCCCAAATCTGCATTTATCCCTTAATCACAGTGCCCTAACCAGGTCTCCTCGGAGAGGAAACAAGATGATTCTGGGCTCACGCAGTAAGACCCTCATAAACCTTCTCCTGTTTCTCGTGGATAATAAAGCTACAAACAAACCAGTCCAGAGCCCAGGAGGACAGGCGAATGAGGCAATTCAACCATGAAGAATATGTTTCTGTCTTGAAAAGCGAACAAGTCTAGGACTTTCCGCCAAATGGGGCCCCAGTGGCTCTGAATTTTTTCCCCCACTTTGCCAGTTCCACAGAGGTCAAGGGCTTCCTTTCCCCTGCAGCGTCCAGCCCAGTGCCCTTTATACAAAAGTGCTCAGTAAATAGTCGCAGATGAAGGTCCAAAGTTGATGACACGATGTCCAAAGACAGCAGAGCTCATGCGTGGGTCTGGGATGGACACTGCATGTGGGCAGAGAGCTTGGCCTAGAGCTGAAGAAGGTCCTAAGGTGCTAGACTGCTCTCATTGGCCCAAAGTTTCTCTCAGAAACAAAACTCAACTTTCCAGGATCAATATTCTCCTGACAACTCCTCAGTTGTCCACAAGTCGTGGAAAACTGCAACATCTAAACTGTGGAAGTTGAGTATGACCCAAAAGGCAGTGGGGAGACCCATGAGGGCAGGAAGATAGTTAGGCCACGCATTACAAATGAGGAAACACATGAGGAACAACATAAAGGATGTCCTCAGAGACACAGAAGTAAAAGACAGATGCCTCACTGAGCAGTCATTTTTCCATGCCCATGAAGTAAGTGTGACAGAGGCCCACAGGAGGCCAGAATATCTGGTCACTATCTGGGGGGAAGAGAGGGAGGATAGATATGTGGAGACAAACAAGCAAATGTAATGCCAACAGACTGAATGGATTGGTATTGTACAAGTAAAACTAACAGAGCTGATAGAGGAAGCCAATGCCTACACAACGGGATTTGAGGGGCACTGTAAGTTGCTCTTAGCCAAAAATATTTCTATCCACCCAGTTCTGAACTTTGATATGTTATCATTAGAAATTCACGACTTTGGGTTAGGGCACCATCTCCTACTGAAATAGGAAGGTGCTGGGAAGAAGTAATAAGAGAATTCTCTATTAGTCACTTATCTTATTTATTTATTAGCCACACTTTAATGTGAACTGGTTCACTGAGGCAATGTTCAGTCTTGCATAGAGTCCTGGGACTTAGAATCAGGAAGGACCCAGTCCAGATCCTGTCTCCAACATCACCCGTATGACTCTGGGCAAGCCCCACAATCTTTGGATGCCTCCGGCCTTCTCTGGGACATATCCGTTGAGTCTCAGAAGCCTTGGCGTCTTTGTTGGGGGACTAGAGACTAGGCCCAACCTGAGAGTTCTCCAAGCCGATGAAATCTCAAACCCATCCAACCTGGTTGGTTAGGTCCTTTCCAATTGGACAGCTAGGCGAGAGCAGGTTTGGGGAGGGGAAAGGAATGGAACCAGGGGGCTGTTGAAAGTGGAGGGGGATAAGTCTCAGGAAGCCTTGGGCAGCCATGAAGCCATCACGTGTTCAGAGATGACCAAAGGGATGTAAGGAGAAGGACTACCACTGGGGGTGGATGGGGAGGTAAAGCCAAGACCTGGCTCTTTCACGATTTCCTCCCCAGGAAACCACCAAATGATTGACTGAATTTTTCACTGTTCACCAGGTGTCTGGGCATTAAATAAGCAGAGCCAGAAAAGGGCTTTTGAAGTCAATTCCTTGAGGGCAGGGACCATGTCTTCCTTATCTTTCAATCAGCCCCCTCACCAAGGATATGTGTTGCATGTTAGACCAACAAGTCTAACGTCAATGTTGATATCAGAAATATGTGTTCTGCTCAGGATGGAAAGGCCCTTCTCCTCCAGAGATTGCAGCCCATCTAAGATTGAGTTGATGAGACTGAGAAACAGCTTGCCCAGGATTACACAGCTAGTAAGCGTCAGAACCCGGATCCTCTGACTCCATGTCCAGTACTCTCTGAACTAAGCCACACTACCCCCGTAGTGGGAAATTAATAAGTATTTCTTAATTAAATGAGTGGAATATTTTCTTCTCAAGGGAAAGGGAGAGGTGCCCACACCCACAGGACATAAACAGGCACAGTGCCATTCTTTCCACTGGAAAGCACTACTGTGTGGGTGCTGGTGAGGAACCCAGGGCATTTCGGTACAGAAGTTTCCTTTACTCCATTGACGCCAAGTCACAGAATTTCACCCTTTGTTATTTTGTCCTCAGAGAAGATGGCCAGTCTGTGCACAACATGGCCAGGGAGCTGTCCTGTGGGGGCAGGGACACCAGCGCTCCAGCGTCCGAGACTGCCACCAGCTCCTTGTGGTCCTCTAGGGACAAAGTGTGGCAGAGAACTTCAGCTACTCCACCTCCCTTTTACAAAGGGGGAAACTGAGGCCCAGAGAGAAGACATGGCTGACCTGAATCAAAGGTGTGGCATTCATAAAAATGAAAGAGATGAGCTTCACTTGTCAGTACAAATAATTTTGGGGAGAGGGGCCGAAGTGGGCCCATCAACATTTTCTAGCTTTATACCAAGCATCAACATGGACACTCTAAAATATTCAGAGAGGGCCAGTTGGGAGCCTTGCTTTTGTTTTCTAAAATCCCCTTTCACGTTTGTTTAGACCAGCAAAGGTAAGAGGGACCTAAGGGGGAAGGGAATAAGCATTTCTATAGTGCTGACTATGTGCCATACAATGTGCTAAATGCGCTTTTTATGTTATCTCATTTTATCCTCACAACAACCCTGGGAGTTGGTGCTATTATTATCCCCGTTTTACAGATGAAACTGAGGCAAAAAGCAGTTAAATGACTTGCCCAGAGTCACATAGTAACTAAGTGTCTGAGACTGGATTTGAACTCATATCTTCCTGCCTCCAAACCCCCCTCTATGGCCAGGGCCACAGTTAATGGCAATCACACCTCTAAGCATAACTGAAGGAACGGAATAAATATCAGTGGCTATGAAACTCATCTAGGTCTAACTCTGTGACCCTCAGACCATTTTCTTTTCTCCAAGGTAAAATGATATCCCACACAAATACTCATCCAGCCCCACCCTGGGCTGAATGTCATGCAATCCATCACTAAGGCCTTGAGCAAACCAAGCTTTGGCTTCCCTGGTAGCCCAATTAAAAAGGAAACAAAGTGGGTGCCCGTCGGCCGGGAAAGGGCTGAACAAACCACTGAACCTTTGGAAACATTTCTGTGCAAAAAGATATGAGAAAAATGAGGAATTCAGAGAAGCCTTCAATACCACATACGGACCCAGGAACAACCCCCACGGTCATCACAGTAACGTGAAGCAAACAGCGCTGAAAGGCCTCCAAATTCAGTCATAGAGTGACCAGTCTGGGCTCCAGAAAGCTAAAGGTGAAGCAGATTTCCCTCCCCTCGAAAGAAAGGCAGTGGACTCCAGGGCCCCTGGGCTGTGTGCGCTGCCAAATACACACGACGCAGTGGTTTGTTTTGCTTAGGTGTTCTTGTTTCATAGGACAGTTCTATCAAGGCTGGCGTTACAATAATGCTTAAAAATAAAAATTAAAAAAAAACATGCACAAAGTATTTTTAGAAACAAATCACGTTTTCTAAAATGTTCAGTCTGAACTTCTCTTGGGTAAAAACGACCACGCCGTAACATGAGCTCCACAGTCTCTCACTTTCAGCAAGAGCCTTTGATCTCCTCCAGGGTCTGGTTACTAATCTGCTCTCGAAGAAACACGCAAAGTTCTCTGCAGGGAATCTTGTTATTGGCCAAAGAATGGGAGGTCACGGAACACTCTAAAGGTCAAAAATGGCAGGCCGAGCCTCTTCCTATCCTACGTCATGCAGGACCAGGACACTGAAGGCACCCACAAGTAGCATCTCCTGGCACGTACCTGGTACGGGACAATACTGCCGTGGGCAGTGCCCCAACGCTTGGCTTCCTTTCCACCAATGAGGTAATTCACCGCCACTTGGGTCAGACATGCCACCTGAGGGGGGGGGAAAGAGAGGGTCAGTCTCTTCTGCCAACTTATCTGATTTCATAGACAGTGTTTTACAATCTGAATAAATGAAGACAAAAATATACAAAAGAAAAAAACTCCCCAACCAAAAATGCAAGGACATGAAAACTGAGGTTGTATGTGTGTGTGTGTGTGTGTGTGTGTGGGTGTGAGTCTTCATGTCTTTCCTCCTCAGAGCTCAGCAGTCACTCCCTCTTACAGATCAAACAAAGGTCAACCTTCCTAACTTGGCATTCAAGGGCTCTCAAAGCCTGGCACCAACCTACTTTTCTAGTTGAGTCTCCATTGCATGTGCCATGCTTCAGCCAAAATGGACCACTCACCACCTTCAGTTCTATGCTTTCCTCAAGCTGATTCCTGCACCTGGAATGCATTTGTTTACCCTTTGTACCTGTTAGAATCCTAGCAGAATCCCACAATCTGGCAGACTTCCAAGGCCATTTAATCTGACCCATGCTGTACAACATCCCTGACAAGCGGCCATCCAGTCTTCGCTTAAAAATCTCCAGGGAAGAGGAAGTCATCACCCCCTGAGTAACCCACTCCACTGCCAGTAGGCAGTTCTAATCATGAAGATGTTTTCACATCAAGTCAAAATCTATATCCCCCATAACTTCTACCCATTGCTCCTAGCTGTGCCCCCAGGCCAAGGAAGGAGCCTAAAAGGAAGTTGATACCCAAGATAAGTAAAAGGATAGTAGGACAACACTCAGTTGTAGAGGAGATGAGTTCAATTGACCCAAGGTCCAAAGAGAACCAAAGGATGAGATATTCAAAAGATCTCAGTTTAACAGGAACCAATGGGAAAGCTGGAATGCCATTTGGCCAAAAAAAAACGTTTAAAAGAGAAACTTAGCTGACGTGCCACAATAAACTCCAAACAGATACAGAACCAACTTCTAAAGTCACATCATTTCAAAAATGAAAGGAAATAAAAGGAGGCACCTTTCACTGATATACCTGAGTGAAAGAATTCTTAGCCAAACAAGGAATAAAGGAAATCACAAAAGATCAATGAAACAATGTCAATTCTATCAAAGTGAAAAGATTTGACGTGGACGATATGTGTGAATGGGTCCAACCATTCTGAAAACAAATGTAGAATTCTGCCCCCTCACCAAAAAAAAAAAAAAAGAAAAGAAAAAAGTGGGCAAAATGTTCAAACTATTGTGGTGGCGAAGAATTAGAAATTGAGGAGATGCTCATTAATTGGGGAATGGCTGAACAAACTGTGGTATATGAATGTAATGGAATACTATTGCTCCATAAGAAATGATGAGCAGGCAGACTTCAGAAAAACCTGGGAAGACTTGTATGGACTGATGCTGAGTGAAGTGAGCAGAACCAGGAGAACGTTGTACACGGTAACAGTCATGTTGTGCAATGACTAACGTTGATAGACTTAGCTCTTCTCAGCAATACAAGGACCTAAGACATCTCCAAAGGTCTCAGGATGGAAAAAGTTATCCACATCCAGAAAAAGAACCATGGAGTCTCAAAGCAGATCGAAGCAGACTACTTGCTCTCTTTTTGTTGTTGTTTCTTCTTTCTCATGGTTTCTCCCATTGGCTCTAATTCTTCTTTACAACACAACTTCTTTACAACATAATGTGAAAATAGGTTTAATAGGAATGTATATGTAGAGCCTATATCAGATCGTGCGCCGTCTTGGGGAGGAGGCAGGGGAAGGAAGGGGAGAAAATTTAGAGCTCAAATCTTGTGGAAGTGAATGTTGAAAACTAAAAATAAATAAATGTTCAAACTGAGTGAGTGATCTCACTGCTGGACATACAGTATGTCTCAAAGAAGTCAAGGATAGAAAGAAAGGTCCTACAGATACCAAAATCTTCATAGAAGGAGTTTTTAAGGTAACAAATACCTGGAAATAAAGTATATGCCCAGCAATTGAGGAATGTCTTTACAGATTGTGATAAAGGAGTGTGATGGAATATCTATCACTATGCTATAAGAAATGATGAAAACAAGAAATTCAGAGAAACACAGGAAGACTTATATGAACTGACCTCAAGTGAAGCTTGGAAAACAATTTATATAATAATTACAACAATATAAAACCATGCCCCAACAAAAGGTCGAAGGATATGAATAAAGAGTTCTCCAAAAATATGCAAACTATTAAAAATCATATGAAAGAACATTTGTTGTTGAATTGTTTCAGTTGTGTCCAACTCTTCGTGACCTTATTTGGGGTTTTCTTGGCAAAGATACTAGAGCGGTTTGACATTTCCTTCTCCAGCTCATTTTACAAGTGAGGAAACCAAGGTAAACAGGGTTGAATGACTTGCCCAGGGTCACACAACAAGTCTCTGAGGTTGGATTTAAACTCACAAAGATGAGTCTTCTTGACTCCAGGCCCTGCACACTATCCACTGTGCTATCTAGCTGCCCTGTGAAAGAATATACCAGATCACTTACTAGTTTTATGACCCTGGACAAGTCACTTTACCTATTTGCCTCAGTTTCCTCAACTGTAAAATGGAGATATCATCCAGGCTGGTTATATGGATCAAATGAAATAAGATTTGTAAATTACTTAGCATGCTGCCTGATACATGCTAAGGCACTTAATAAATGCGTATTCCCTCTCCTCCCCCTCATCTATAAAGCAGATAACAACTAGAGGTGTTCAAAAGAAATTACTTTGCAAATATTACAGTACTCTAGATATTTGTAATTATTATTAGTATTGTTATTATTATTATAATTAAGGTACTATGAGGTCAGAGGTCACCATGCAACTTATGGGAAAGCTACAAAACCATTTGGCAAAACAAAACAAAACCAACACCAGAAATTTCCCCTATATGCCACAATAAACTCCAGATAGATACAGGACCGATATCTAAAGGTCACATCATTTAAAAAATGAATAATATATTTCCCACAACATTACTCTTGGTGAGGGAGGAACATCTGGTATCAGAACCAGAAGCAAAGAGAAGCAGCCCAGGGTGAAGGCAGGTTAGGAATCCAACCAGAGATGGGGGGAACGGTCGTCCTCCTCAGGTCTCTCTTCGCCTCACTCCATTTCATTCTGGGAGCTCTTTGCCCACAGCACATGGTGACAGCAAAGGTGCAACAGGTGAAGACCAGATGGCCTTCTCCTCCTCTGAGGGCTTTTGGCCTGAGATATGGGCCTCACTCCTTAGCCTTTTCAGTTGTGGGAGCTTCATAGTCTGGGAGCTTGGAAGGTCATCGTGAGGGAGTTCCAGTTGTATTGCTGAGGGTGGGTTCCAGGCCACGTGTTGCAACCAGCACAGCATCGAATCACAAATGTCAATGAGTGACCTTGTAGACCTAGGCCAGTGGTGACTGAGATCCAGACTCATCTAGCAGGGATGCTGCCTTTTGATAGGAACTTGGGTGGGTTCTAACCTAGATGCTAGAGACAAGAACAGGAAGGAACCAGAAAAACTAATGATACAGTTTTGGGCCCAGGGCAAGCAACATGAAACATGCCTTCAATTCAGTTGAATAGTTGAGTGTGTATAGAAGGGAAGGGGGAAGAGCATCTGAGACGAGGGGGGTGAGGGAGCAGAATGGCATGGCCAAGGAGGCGGTCCATTGGGACCTGGCCATCAGCAAGAGGGGAAAGGCACCATCTTGTAGCTTCCTCTTTTAACTCATTACTCTTCCTAACTAAGCACCGAGTTGTTTCCATAGTACTGATAATAAACATACTGGCAGAGGCCCCACAGAATTTCAGCATCTTAAGAGAAATTCTCCCTATTGCCCCACCCGAGTTCCACCTCAAGGATCTCTGAATTCACATCTAAAGAAAAGGAGTATAGCTGTACCCAGAGGATGTTCCATTGCAGGCTTCAGGGCCTGTTACCACTGGTCTATCTCTTCCAGACCCCACCCGGATGGCCCTCATATAAGTCAGAGATGGTAGTTTTCTCCTCACTGCAGGTCTGCAAACAAAGGGTGGATGGCTCTTTGTGGCTGTACAGAAGTAGCATTTTTATTCAGAAACAGGTAAAATAGACAACCTCTGTGGTATCACCCAACTTTAAAGATCTGTGATTCAGAGCTGAATTTGAACGCAGGGCCTTCGGGGAGCTTATACCCCATCGGGCTCATGATCAAAGGAGATAGTATTTGTAAGGTGCTCATACAGTGCCTGGCACACAACAAAAGCTATATAAATACTTATTCCCTTTCCCCATGTCCTAATGGAGCCTCATTGGAGAGATAGCCGCCATTCTCCATATCCAAACTGGGGCAGAACAAAAGACCCCCTCCCCCGATAGCCTCTGTCTGGGATGACATGCCCATCCCCTATGAGCACCATGGAGAAAGGGGGCTGCCTCCCTCACTCAATTCTTCCCTTGTGGGCCCCAGTGTTCCCCAAGCGCTAATCCTCCCCAAACCAGCCACTCCTCCCAAGACAAAGAGCGATTTATCAATTCTTCCTCAGAGGCAAAGTCGGGGGAAAAAAGTTAATTCTCTAAAAGGCATCACTGCTAAACTTAGCAAACCAACCTTTTAAAGGGGCATCACACGTCTGAAAGTAATTTGGCATTTACAAGAATGTATTTTAAGGCAAAGGGAGGGGGGTAAAGAAAGTCACCATCTCTGATGTGGTTATGTACAAAAATCAGAGGTTCCTTGGCAATTCATGACAGATTTTCCACAAATTAGAAGAATGCAGGATGTGCCTTTTTACATTAATAACCACATAGAGCATATTCCTTCTAAATATTGCATTAGGTCATGACTGCCGTCCCCCAAGCTTGGGCTCATTATTCCATCAAGTGGGCGCTATGTAATTTTCTTAGAATGTCGCTTTTTTACAAGGTATTATTTCTTTGTAAAAGGCAGCTTTGGTTTCATGGTAATTGTTGTGACAGCGAAACCATTGTTTCAGACAACAGAGCAGGCCCCAGCCTGCCTTGGGTTTAGTGAGAGAATCGATGGGCCGGCCAAAGCGTATCTCAAAGAGC